AATCAAAACTGAGATTAACTATAAAGGGACTGAAATGTTCTAATTAATCCCCTTTTCCTGCAGAAACTGTTTCTGCATAACTTGGATTATCCTGACTTCAAAAGAATTTAGTTTCTTTACAGGATGTCCTAACACCAGCTTTGAAAACAGCATTTTTAAGGATTTTTATGGGGAGTGGAGTGAGGGGTTTTTTTTGGGGGGGGGAGGAGCAGGTGAGGGGCAGTTCTGTCCTCCAGACGTGGGAACAGCTGCTCCAGGAGAATGTCCTGAACTAAAACCCTGTGAAACTGTCCAAAGAATGTGAAGCCATGCTGCACCCCACTGCCACGGCTCTCAGGGCTGGGAGCTCCTCCTGCTCCTCCACAGCACCTTCCAGGAGCTGGTGTGTAACCCGTGAGTAAATCCCAGGAGCTGGTGTGTCCCCTGTGAGTAAATCCCAGGAGCTGGTGTGTCCCCTGTGAGTAAATCCCAGGAGCTGGTGTGTCCCCTGTGAGTAAATCCCAGCTCCCAGTGGTGCTTCCCTCGTCCCCCGGCCGCTGGACTGTTCCAGCCTCAGCCCAGGGCACCCCATGCTATGCAACACCAAATGGCTTCTCCTCCCACACACAGCCATCATTCCTCTCCATACCCCAGCTTTATCCCACAGGGACATTTCCCAGGAACCCAGGTGGTTGGAGTTCCCCTCGGGCTCGTCCCGGTTTGGATTTTCCTTTGCAGGATCAGTGGATGGGTCTCGGGTGCAGCCCCAGGGCTGGGCTCGGCCCTTTTGTCTCTCGGGTGTGAAATATAAATCATGTTTTTATGATTTTTTTGTAAATCTTTACTCTTTTTACACCTTGTTTTTGTAAGCTGAAGTTTCTTATTAAAAGAAAAAAAAAAGAAGAAGAAATTCCAGAGGGCCATCTCGTTATTCCATAGACTTTAATAAACATCTGGGGGGGGTACAGAAGGAAATTCCACAACCATCCTTGAGAAAACCATTCTTGTTGTGCCTTGAGGAATGAACTGGAAATAAATTCTTCCTCTCAGCCTTAAATCTTTCCCTCTTGTCACTGCCTGGAGCAGGACAGGAGGGACTGGGAGCAGCAGCTCTGCAGGGGAGGAGAACAACGTCCTTCCAGGAATGCAGCGAACCCGTCTCGGCCCAACACGGCTCCGGTCCTGCTGGGAGGGCGAGCTCTGCTCCCTGCAGCTCCAGGAATTCCTGGGACAGGGATTCAGCAGTGTTAGTGGAGGTGGGTCCTGACATGTGGCAGCTTAGTAACAGCTTCACAACCCTGTGTGAAGGCTGGGTCGTGTGGGCTTTGGTGCTCTGGGGCCTGGGGTGGGCTCAGGGGTCGGTCCCGCTGGTCACTCCTCATCTGTGTCACCTCACACGGGGACAGCCCCGTCCTGGGGGCTGTCAGGACACATCTGGGGGGTTTGTTCAGCCTCGAGACTGAGGGGAGACCTCAGGGGGCTGCAGGTTCCTCACGAGTCCAGCTCTGATCTCTGCTCCCTGTGAGCAGTGACAGGCCCCAGGGAAGGGCTGGAGCTGTGCCAGGACAGGCTCAGGTTGGATCTCAGGAAAAGGTTCTTCCCCCAGAGGGTGGTTGGGCACTGACCAGGCTCCCCAGGGCAGCGGGCACAGCCCCAAGGCTGCCAGAGCTCAAGGAGGGTTTGGAAAACGCCCTGAGGGATAAGGTGGGATTGCTGGGGTGTCCTCTGAGGGCCAGGAGTTGGACTGGGTGATCCCTGTAGTTCCTTCCAACCTGGGGCATTCCATGATTCCAAGCACAGCTGTTCCCACCTTCCCAGGTCCTCCCAGTCCCCCTCACCCCCTGCACTCACCGGCTCTACGGGACGGGCTGCGGGGCCATCAGGTCGATGTCCGTCAGGTTCCGGGCGACCCAGACCCCGGCAGCAAACAGCCCCAGGTTCACCAGCAGGTTCCTGCGATCCCAGAGTCATTTCAGTTGGAAAATCCCTCCAGGACCATCGAGTCCAGCCTGTGCCCGATCCCCACCTTGTCCCCCAGCCCAGAGCACTGAGCGCCACGTCCAGTCCTCCCCTGGACTCCAGCTTTTATATTGTTTTATGTTATTGAAAAAGCAAGTTTACATCTAGTGCAGAAACATCTGGTTTCCTTCTCCTCTTGGGTTCCACCCAAAGCCTAGCCAGGGCTCAAGGGGGAAAACCAAGGGAGTCAACCTTGACCATTCATCTCCTGCCAAACAAGGCCAGGCATCTGATTCCATGGCCCTGACCGGACTCTAAATATGGAAAGATAAATAAATTCTTTCACTAACGATCAGTTCCTTAACGAGCAGATACGCAGATAGAAGTAACGTTTGTTGGAAGGTTCATCAAGAGGTCAGCTTTGGCTCAGGGCCTGTTGTTCAGGCCTCAGAACTTCACTCTTTCCATGGAGAAATTCCTCCTGGTGTCCAACCTGACCCTCCCCTGGCACAGCCTGAGGCCGT